TATAGGATAATTATAATTTCCTCTATTAAGTATACATACATACATACATATATATATATATATATATATATATACATATAAATTGGTAATATAGCTATAAATTATATCACTTTGATAATAATACAAGACGCTAAAAGAATTAGCATAGAATTTTACTGATCAAAAAAATTATTTTAAAATAACAGTCCATAAAATAAAAGTATATGAACAAGATAAATAGTTAATTTCCACGAAGATATTTAAACTGAGAAGTTTTGCAACAAATTTATTCCATTTGAGAACAAATATTTTATATTATTAAAGTATGTTATATTTTTGATACTTTTAAATAGTAAAAAGATCTTTGATAAAAATACACTTCGATTTATAATTACCACTTTATATTTATCACTTATTATTGGTAGCTAATATCAATAAGTAATATGATACATATATCGATATACGGAATTTTTATAAAAACAATATGAATATTTATAATCAAATATATATATATATATATATATATATATTATATACAAATCGTCGATAATTAATGCAATTATTTTGCTGAAATATATGTATTTAAGTAATTAATGATCGTATAAAGCTAAGTAAATAATATAATTTAAGCAAAATTGATAAGAAATATAAGATATAAAATTTCTATACAAACAAATTGATTAGCGATTTAGCTGTACTGTACATTGAAAATATACAAACAAATGATTAAACTAAAAATAAGACGCATTAATTGAATAGATGATCGATCGATTTAAACTAAAAACAAAAAATCTGATCATTTGAGGATGATAATTATAAATTATAGAAAGGGTGGCTTGCTACTGAATAACGTCGTGGGCATACTCGGTGCCTGTCTGATGGGCTGCACGAAGATTGCCCATTCATACGAGATGTTGTTCGTTGGTCGCTTCGTCATCGGTGTCAATTGCGGCTTGAACACATCTCTCGTACCCATGTACATATCGGAAATAGCACCCCTTAACTTGCGAGGCGGCCTCGGCACAGTTAATCAGCTGGCGGTGACGATCGGCCTGCTCGTCTCGCAGGTTCTTGGGATTGAGCAAATTCTTGGTACCAATGATGGTTGGCCTGTGCTCCTTGGTTTAGCTATTTGTCCTGCAGTGCTGCAGCTACTTCTGTTACCTCTATGTCCGGAGTCACCAAGGTAAAATATTCTTTAATATTTATCTTAAGATATATCGTCTAAAACTCTCTATATCCCGGTATGTTTTCTGCATATATTGTCTGAATGTACAATCAAATGGTTCTAACAAATCAAATATCAAATATACGATAAGCAGATCTTTATAAGACTATTTATATATATATATATATATATATATATATATAAAAATATACTATACAGTGAATTACTCATATTGCAGTTAAAATTTTAGCTCAAGAATATTTAAAGTCTTATTAAATATTATTAAAGTCCATTCATAATTATAGAATATTTCAATAAACCAATTATGAAATACTATTTTATTATTAATATTATTATTAGTATATCACATAACTAGATTAGTTTTATATTAGATTATATTTTCTTAAAATGCTCTTCATAACTTTAATTGTGTAACTTAGCATCCTTATTTTGTCTAGTATTAATTATTTTACAGATTCAAAATATGCTTGAATATTTCGACAAGAATAATACAAGTAATAATGCATATAATTCATATGCAATAAACTAATAAGGACCAATAATAAAGTTATAGAATTTTTTATAAATATTTAGTAAACTATAATTGCACATATATTTATATTAGTGTTTTTAATATGAAAATATGTAAAGCTTAAATATAGTTTAGTTGTGTAAATAACTTTTCACGTACATTTGAAATTTTTAATTTATAAAAATTGGTATTAAATAAATTAATGTTTAAGAATCAATACAATAAAAAATTATGTTTATTAAATTTATTTATTAATTTATTAGATTAAATTTATTGTTTACAATGAATTTTAATGTGAGTTAATGTGATCAGGTATTAAATGTAAAGATATATGAGAGTGTTTAGACTCTATAAATCACGTAATATAACAAGTTTCTGAAATTATAGGCGAAAATAAAACACATCGTTAAAGAGAATTTATTATGAATCAAAAAACAAATAACGCATAATTTGAAATAAAGATATTAAAATTTTATTATTGAAATAATAGTCAGCGGGAGGTTTATTTAATTCTTTTTGCTATTTTTGAGCACAGATATTTACTGATTACGAAACAGTGGGAGGAGGAAGCACGTAAGGCTTTGAGGAAATTAAGAGCAAGTAATCAGGTGGAGGAAGATATTGAAGAGATGATGGCGGAGCAACGAGCTCAACAGACTGAGTCAACGATCTCGATGACGGAATTGATATGCAGTCCGACATTAAGGGCACCTCTTGTTATCGGTGTTGTTATGCAATTATCACAGCAGCTGTCGGGTATCAATGCTGTGAGTTAATTATCCTTATGTTTAAAGCTACTTTTGATTCGAGTTTTATTATGAATTTATTATTATGAAGCATCTAGCCTGCCAATACAATACATACAGCAAATAAGAACTTATTATTTTGCTATTATTTATATGAAACACCCTTATCGCGGATGCAGATTAAAATTTTTGTTACATTGTTTTTCTTAATATTTATTTGTTATGTGAATGTAGATTTTCTTGATTAAAGTTTACAAAAATTTCATCAATATTAACATTTTTATAGTTGAAATATTTTTTATAGTGATAGAAGTAAAAAATAATAAAATATGTTTGTATTAATTTAAGTGAATGCATTTATAACAATGTGAGTATTTATAACTGATAGCACCTATAATCTGCTGAATAATTGTAAGCTAAATATCCTTTGATTTCAATTAATTAGATGTTTTATTGACAATTTAATATAATACAAATATATTAAGAAATGTATATAGATAACAAGAAAGATATATAATTTTAAAATGTTATTACTTTTCGTTTCTGTTGAAAATCTATTTTCTGTCAAATCGTATTTTTATTTAATATTACATAATATCATATTATATTTTCGTTCAACTTCAAGTTCAATATATTATATATTTTAATACATATATATGTATATATATATATATATATATATATATATATATATATATATATATATCATATTAGAATAGAATAAAAAAAGTATAATCGACTCCTTATTTTACTCCCCACATTTTTGTTAAACATTAATTACTCTATTTTCCTTAAGCATATAAAAGCTATATACCACATCTAATTCCATATCTTAGGTCTTCTATTATTCGACGAGCCTCTTCACTACGTCAGGTTTGCCTCCAGAACGTGCAAAATTCGCAACAATTGGCATTGGTGTAATCATGGTGGGCATGACACTTGTCTCAATTCCTTTAATGGACCGCACCGGTAGACGAACCTTACATCTTTACGGACTCGGTGGCATGTTCATCTTTTCTATATTCATCACTATTTCGTTCCTCATAAAGGTGAGTACATACCATTTGAAATTTATATTTTCCTTATTAAGAAAGCTTTATACACAAATATATATCCACTATATGTTTATTATATCAGATTATTAAAGTTTATATTGTAAGTTCAAACAGATGAACAATTTTATTTCGTATATTAATAATATTATATGTATGTTTTTAAACAATACTATTTTTAACATAGACAAAATTGTTTTGTGTACATATTTACAATACAATAATACATAAATGCAATAATTCATTATAGAAAATATAGTATATCAAGTGTTAAATATTGACATTAATTAAAATTTAAATTTTAATAAAATTTATTAATCTTTTTTTATCCAAATTTGTCTTAATTTTGCGAGTATATTAAAGCTATACATTGAATTCTTTTTCGTAAGCTTAAAATCTTACTAAGAAATTTCATTAGAAAATTTATTACTTTAAAACTAAATTATTATATTAATTGCCAATTATTTAATATTATTAAACACTATTAACAATATTATTTAACAATATTATTAAATTCTTATAAAGAAAAGTAGTTTATTTATTCAAGTTATTTGGAAGAGTTCAGATACATATACAATAAAATATTTTCGATATGTAATAAGAATATCAAATGTAAAATTATGAATTTTGTTGAAATTATTATACTTTCTAGAATAATTGAAATAATAATGATTTGTTTTCAAATTTTATAAATTATATAAAGCTCAAAATAGTATATAATTAAATATTAAAATAATAACTCCAATACTAAAACATGAAAATTAATGTATTGAATAAGATGATTATTTGTAAATAAATGACAATTTATAATATACAAATGAAGTAATTGAACATTAAAATAATATTATTTGCATATGTAAATAAAATGTAATGGTTCTGCAACTATTAGCCACGAGACATAAAAAGTAAGCTATGCTTTGCTATTGTAGGTGTACATTGAATATAATTATATATTCACGTTATATCATATGCATCTTGATGTGGGATACATTTTAACACTTTGTTCACAGCTGGAGTACGGCATATTATAACATTTTGCACCAACAGTGTGAGAATATTATAACACTGCTCAATTATTAATATTTACGCATTTATATTTTCATTATCATATACGATTTCTATGTCATTCCTATCATTCATTTAGTACGTAAGAATTCCTAATTTACCTGCATGTATATAATGGCTTTAAACCAACTATTAATAATTATTATAATTTTTTTATTCATTTCCATTTATTTAAATGTATTTGCAATAGATATCTGCAGAAATGTTAACGTAATTATTATAATATTGACATTTAAATTTATATTTAAAATTGCTGTGACAACTTTAGTTATATAGAATTTATAAATATAATATATGCTATTACAAATATCAGAATAATGCTACTTCATAATATAAATATTATTTAACTTACAACACAAACAGATGATTTTTATTATTTTATTAGGGAATTATTAAAATTTATAGAATGTATATACTACTATTATTTATTAATTTTATTATTAGAATAAAATCGAATACTTAATAAATGGGAATTTTAAATTAAAGATATTTTTATATAAAAGAAAATTCATTCTACCGATATCTAAATAAGTACAATAATTTTTTATTTAATCTTCTTCCAAATGCATTAAATTTCCCATTTCTTAATCCTTTCTTTGTCCCTCCTCCTATCATCAGCTACTTTCGTGAACTGTCTGGAGGAGATTTAAATCTACCGTCCGTTATGTATATTATCAGCTTATGTTTTAGCTCGCTCAAACCTGTTAGTTTATTGTTTATTTATCACGTGCATTTCCACAATTTTCTATATTGTATACACGATCGAAATGATTCCGAGACTTTTAATATTTAAATAATTAAAGCAGCTAAACATTGTAATTTACTCACCATTATTTTATTGGTTTCTTTTCTCTCATAATTCTCAAGAAGTATTATATAGTTTGTAGATTTTAATATTAATATACAAGCAATGTTCATTAATTGTGGAACTTCCTATTACATTATTTTATTATTTAAAAGTAAACTAAATTTACCATATGTCAGATAATATGGGGTAATTATTTATTATAAAACGAATTTTTTGTGCATCAATTTTGATTATAAGGGAGATTAGTTAAATTACATTATAATATACATAATAATGTAATTAAAAAATTTGTTTAAATTAAAACTATTGAAAATCAAAATAATTGAATATATTTTATCAAATTGTCTTAGAGCCTAATTTTCATAAATATCCATATTAATAAATACCAAAAAATTAATATTAAATTCAATAATTATGTAATTACATTTTTACATAAAATGAGTTAAAGGCATAAATATTGAATGAATATTAGAAAATTTTACTAAGCTTAATATTAGTAAATCATTTAATGTGAAAAAAATTCTATTTATCCTTTCAACATTATGATATAAAATAATTTTGATATGAATTTAAAAAATATTTGAAAGTAAAATCTTCATTAAATAATGATTAATACAATACTCTAATAATTTAATAATTATAAGATGAATTAACGCATGATAGAAAAATATTAATCATAAAATAATGATATTTATAATATGATTCATGTAATTATGAAGATATGTACATAACTATTATCTACAAATTGTAACATAATTGTTTTCTACAAATTTCACAATGAAAAAGCAATACTATGTAAATATTCGTGAAAATGCCATAATCTTACGATCACTAATTATGGATTAAATTAAGAAAAGAAAAACATTAAATCTATAAGAATTTTCATTATATTCTTAATATTAAATATTACAAAACGTTTTTGTGTTATCGAAATAAATTAATTTTGGTTGTTTGATCTTTATTTAGAAATTTTTTTTTGTAATTTATAAACAGCGTAAGTTTTAATGGTGATAATTGCAAATATTAAAAACTAGGCAGTTATTAAGTTCTTTCGTATATTATTCAATTGAAAATAAAATTATTGTATGTAAATTCAAAATTAATAATGAAAGAACAAATATAATACGAAAAAACTTTTATTTTTAATAGATTCCATTACACTTTATAATTAAATAATGTTATGCTTTTGAATATAAAATAATTTATTTAGGAAAAAATTAAATAAGATTATATTAGTCGCTTATTTATGTTACAATATTTTACACAACTGCAAATATTGTAAATACCTTTAAAAGAATTTTCGTCCACACAGGATTGAGCTGCATGTAGCATGTCACTTTTTTACGTTTATAATTTTTAATTTAATTTTCTTTTATAATTTATTTGAGTTCTAAGATTTTTCGTTGAATTAAACGAATATCCTGAGGCTCCTCCAGCTGATCAGGAAAGGAGAACTAGATTTTACTGCTCTGATAGGAGTTTTTTGGCTACGTGCAGGAAATGATAGACTGGATGTCATACTTGTCAGTGGTTTCGATCCTGAGTTTCGTCGTGTTCTTCGCCGTTGGTCCAGGTTCTATACCTTGGATGATAACAGCGGAACTTTTCTCCCAAGGTCCGAGGCCAGCTGCTATGTCTATTGCAGTTCTCGTAAATTGGATGGCTAATTTCCTTGTTGGAATTTGCTTTCCAAGCATGAAGGTGAGATTTATTATTTAATGTTATTGCAGATAAAAACTTTAAAGTAATCACATTATACGGTGCTTGTTCGCGTTATTCGGTGTTGATAAGAAAATTCTTATAAACTACATAATTGAGTTTTATGATTTATAATGACTTCTTTTTTTAAATTCGGTAAATTAATTTTAAACTGACTAGTTTTATCTACAAATTGCTTAAATTTTACAAAGTTTAATACTGTCAAAAACAATGTAATAAAAGGTCAATATCGTGCATGTTTGTAATTTACTTTTGCGTACAATTTGGATTCATTGTAAATTTAATATTATGAACCCATTATTTAAGAATAAAAGAATTTTTAAACTTTATGAAAATTATGAATTATTTATACACTATATAATATATAAGTTGTATGTTTTTTATAAACATGTCTATAATAATTATATTTTATGATGAGCATTGTTATATTTGAATAAATTTTATATTCTCTATCATGCAGAGTATTAAAAGTTTAAACATATCATAGTATGGTTTCATTTATCATTTTCATATATTACAGTAACTTTTTTTTTCTTATTTTCCATAGAATCATCTTGACAACTACACGTTCCTACCGTTTAGTGCTTTTCTAGCAATATTCTGGATCTTCACATACAAAAAGGTTCCTGAAACCAAGAATAAAACTTTTGAAGAGATTTTAGCATTGTTTAGACACGGCAATGGCAGGTACGAGTCAATAATTGACAGCTTTTGAAAACAATTGTTAAATATTTTGTATTCAGCACAATCATTTTCAGCTATATATTTATCGATTTGATTATTTATTTACTATAATTATTATCTTACTTTACCTAATCTTATTTTATTATTTATTTTGTTTCTATTCTAGATTTGATCAATGAATTTGCGTTATTTTACTTTGGCTGTTTGCACAAATTCTTCTTGTGATTATATTACATCTATTTTCATTTATTTCGTTACGTATTTGTTTGTATTATGTAAAAACTATTGATGTTGTAATATTTTAAAGCGACAATGTGAGTTTTTCTTACTTTTATAATGCAGAAAATGGAGAGGCTGCGTCCATGACACCGTCTTATCGTATGGCTCGTGTTTCGTTGAAAGAAGAGCATATTTATAACTGCGTTACTACAAAAGCGAACAAAATTAATAACAATCGTAATAAATAATTTGTTAATATTGACTCTCCTGATGTTAAAATATCAGAAAAAGCTAAAACAGTTGATTCCAAATGTTTTAATTTGAAAGCAATACAATAATATTTCGGATGTGCTTATAATCTATAATACTTTATCGAAGTACGAATAGATTCTTATATCTTAGAATTTTAAAATGACATGTACAATTTGTTAGGTAGTACTATAGATCAAAATACTTTGATAAAATAAACTTTGTTCAAAAACATAAAAATTTAATTCTAATTCTCCACATCAATAAGCCTTAATCTAATTAATAGAAAAATTTTTAATAATTAAAATTGCAAAAAAATAAATAAATAAAATAAAGAAAATTGATAAAGATTCGTTTGTATTATTTTCTGATTTTTACTGCATACTTGTATTATGTTTTAATTAATGTAAAATATTTTGCAAATTCTTGTAAATATTTCGCTTATAATTTTTCTTTTTTTTTATATAAAAGTTATAATCGATATGTATTTTGCTATTTCAAAAATATTTTTACATTTGAAAAAAAATTTAAGAAACTATCTATTGCTATAAGAAATTTATTATCGAAGAATAATTAATTATGTAATTTATAATTCAGTTCTTAAACATGGTATTTAATTTTTCAAAGAATGAGTTTTATTATTTTAAATATTTTTATTAAAAAGTTAATGAAAAAAATTGTTCTTTTGTGTGATTATAATTACAATATATATGCGAAATTGTAAATATCAATTCCATTTATAAGAATTTATCTTAAACTATTGTGATAATTCTAAATCATATTGGTATTATAATTGATATATTTGTAATAATAAAAAATTGCCTAATTTTTAGACACATATAACATATAATTTTAAAAGTATATCAAATATTAGTATAAAATCTAGGTACTTTGAATAGTAAGTTAAACGCTTATGAACATATGAAACGCTATAAATAATTCATATAATTTAATAGTTACTTTTCCATTTTATTTTATTAGTTAATTAAATCATGAATATTTCGTTATGATGTATGCCGCGGGAATAATTTAAGAATAAATTGGAATTTATAAAGCTTTTTAGATTATTCTTATTAATAAATCAATTAGTTTAGAGTTTCATGCAACAGAAACTTGTCTTTATTCAATATTTTGTTCAATATATTATTTAGAATATATTAAACCAAACTTAATCTAACTTTTCTGACATAGTTGATAAATATAGATGATATTTGTTATTTGATGATTTGTTATAGATGATATTTATTAACGAAAAATATTAAATTTTATCTTTGTTAATTATAGATAATCATAGTAGTTAAAGATATCAAATAAATGATTTTTTAAATATTTAACCCGTTATTTCTATTGTTATTTTCATATTCTTTATTATTGTTCAACGTTATTTTTAATGTTTCAATTACGATTAATGTTTTAATTATAAGAATACTTTACAGTGGCTTTAATATACCATAATATCATGCATATGTCATTTTCTATCCATAATCATTATTTAATTAAATTTCTGTGTTGTTTTGGATGCAGGAGCAGTTTGCGGAATAGCAGACTTTACGGGTGAGTCATCGCAACTTTTATGTGCTGTTTTTCTTTATTCTAGTTATATTCAGAAACGTTGTAATATTTTAATTTAAACATATATATTAACGTTATTTTTGTTCTATTTATACAGTGATGCATGTTTCAACATTTGTTGCTACATAGATTGTCTCAAAAAACTATGTTACAGGGATTATTTTTTAAGTTACTCTTACAAATATTATTTAAATTTACATCATTGGTCTGATACATTTTTAAAACCTGTTTTATAAACAAGTTTTTCATAAACCAATCGAGGGAAAATCTGGGAAACAGTTTTTCTACATTGCCCAAGCTTTTTTTTTTGATAATTAGATAAAGAACGATTTACTTTTACGTATTAATATTTAAATAAAAAAAAATCTGATAAAGGTTGAAGGTATAATAATAATTGAACATATTTTATTATAATTTAAAAATTATAAGTTACTGTAAACTAATTTCATAAATATTTCGTAATAATATAAATCAAATTTTCTAGCGAGTTTCAATATTAATAAAGTATTTATTTTTAAATTCATAAAATTTTATCTTTATTTGTGATGATAAATGCATTCCATTAAAATTAATTTTCTATTGACCAATATAGAAGTGAAATTTAAAAGCAATATTATTAAAATATCCACGTATTGAGAACGAAGGTGGAGAAAAATAGGTATAATGTAATGAAAAATGTGGATAAGCTTAGAGACATAATTTGAATTTTTTGTAAAAATTCACTTAGGAAATAATCCTGCATATTCAAAGATCTTTTGTTCTACCAGGCTAATAATTAAAATGACTGGCATGTTATGTTACTTAGTTCATATCTTATGCGAGTCTGCATATTCATTAACCATAAGTCATTAAATCGTTTAAATATCATTAAATGTGGAAAACATTCTTCATAATCATATTAAATATAAGCATGGATCATCCATCGCATTATACGAGAGATTACACTCATCATATCATATTTTTCTGTCGAAATACATTTCACAGTTTCTCTATTTTACAGTGAATCAGGACTGTTGTGTATAAAAAGATGAATTTTCATACTTACAAACTAAATAAAAATGAATAAGAGACTTGGTAATTTTCTCTAAAATTATAATAAATAACTTAATTTTATTTATTATACAAAAAAATGTTTAATTACACCACTTATACTTCCGTGTCTGTATTATAAGGGTCAATTTAAAAAATTTTGATAAACTTATTATTCTATATATATATAGCCTTTATTAATATGAGAATTTAAAAAATATCTAATCAGTCTTAATACGGATAATAAAATATTCAAAGTAAGTATCTATAAAATATTTTTTTATACATTTCATATACAATAAATTCTTATGAACATATTATACGCGAGCAATTTTGGATTCGATGAAATGAACATAAACACAATGTCTTATTTGATTGCAGTGAGTATATCAATTATATCTATATTATATATGTTTTATTTGCGATTAAAATTATATACTTGTATTAATAAAAATATTAATATAAGATATATAAAATCATTTAATAGAGTTTCATACAATGATATATAATTATCTACTTTACGTTGTTAATCTAATGCAGACAATCTTTTTCACTTTAATCTTATATTTTCATGAAAGGTCTGATGTTCAATTTTAAAGGTTTTTGTTTATGGCTCGAACTACCAATTCAATAGTTCAGTGGATTAGTTTCTCGGCAGGATAACATCAAAGGGAATAATAATTGACAAGGCTGAAAAATATCATGTATTTAGTAAAAACAAGGTTTATTATTTGTAAATGATTATAATAATATTGCACTGTTGTATAGAGAGAGAGAGAGAGAGAGATAATTCTATTGAAGTAATGAGGGTGGGTTCTTGTATTCTTGATTATTGTAGCTTCCATGGATATGACTGAGTATCTTGAAGTTGAGGTAATGCTGATGTTGTAATAATCAGCAGGTGTAGTCCGTGAATCATGCTCATGAGGTAGCATGAGAAGATGGCGTTTCAATCAAGTACGCTTGATGTATGAAAAACTATACTTGATATAGTGTAAGATGTTTAATGGAATAGATTAAGTAATCAATTGTGTCTTTAATTATTTATGGGAACAGTAAAAGAATCTAGTCACAGGTAAGAGTGATTAATGTTAAGATTTCTAACTCGTGAAGGATTTAATAATCTGTCTTTATATAGTCTATTAGTCGATCTGTGTTGTCCTTCTTTGACAATGTGTGTGAATCACAGTGACTCTTGCGTCAGCTGTTGATGGCCTGTACGATGTCGAAGTGTTAGTTCGTGAGAGCGTGTGTCCTATTTCTGCCAGAGATCCTGAATGGTTCCGAAGTGTTCTTCGGAAGAGTGTACGTTTGTCCTCTCTCTGGTGTGCCCTATCTCTGCTAGCGGGTCTGTACGATGTCGAGGGATTAGTTCGAGAGAGCGTAAGTGTGCCCGATTTATTCTTGTGCGAGGTGTGACTAGCGAATTTATTAATATAAAAAGATGTACCTTGTGAGCTGCAGACAAGGTATATTAGTTGCTGTGTAATTGATGTTCCCCTTGATTACTATTCCAATTGGCTTCACTGTAATCACTATCTAAACTGCCGATTTTTTATTCTTATGCACGCGTGTATTCTTAACTATGCTGTCGAATATATGGCCACGTGTCGTCGTCATAGTATACTAAAATACTGACCGGCAATTACAGTTTAGTGAACGCGATGTAGGATTACAATGAGCGTATGAACCTTTTGAATACGCGCATGAACCGAAGGCTTGATCGTTCCGTGGCGGCTCTACTGAAAATACCGACCGTTCCATGGCGGTCCTGCTGAGGGCAGATCGAGACCCGTGTGTCATGGCTTCTACTGGTAAATGATTAAATCAGTTCATTATGGTCGGTCACTGCGGTCGAGTCACGGCAAAATATTAGCCGCAAGCGCAGTTAGTCGTGGATGGTTCGGCAAGAGAGTCGGTCAGCAAGCAAGAAGCTTTCAGCAAAAGAGATTTTCAGCGAGAGAGAGAGAGAGAGAGAGAGAGAGAGAGAGAGAGACGCGCCGCGTGCGTCCCTTATATAGCCACGCGGCGGCTCACTTAGCTGGCAACAAAGCATCATCGTTGTTGCACTAATTCTTATACGAGGCGTGGAAAGAAAAATCTAGAACCTTCGAGAATGTTCGACGAGAGAAAAGTAGGCGCAATACCCTTGTGTGATCTTATAGTATATTAGATTTCATGTCGTAAAACTTGCTCGGACTTGCCGAGTTTTGTTTATAAACATTCGCCCGAGTGCGCGTCCCGGTCCGAGCGCGCGTGCTGTGCGTCGCACAGCGTGTGTATGACCTACTTTTTCTTTAAATTCATGGAACTGCATCAATCTCGAACATCTGATAATAATGAGTAAGATGAGAGAGCATAGCTAATATAGGTAGAAAGAAAGAATGAGAGGGATAAAAGAGAGTGAGAGAGAGAGAGAGAGAGAGAGAGGAAGAGAGAGCAATCAAAGAAAGCGAAAGTGCACAACGATTCAATTTATATTTCTAATTTACAAATATATCTCAACTTCTTCTTCAATAAGTATTTTTCTTCATTTTACATTCAATACGTATCAATTGAGGTATAGACTTTACAAAGAATTATAGTTTATAATGAATATTATATTGAAATATATATAAATAACTCTAAAAGTAATTTTTATTATAAAGAATTATAAATTGAAGAATATCTGATAGTTAATTTTAAAAATAGCTATAAATTTACATATAAGAAATTTTATTTAAAATATAAATAAATTAATATATTAATTTTATATTTTTATAAAAACAGAATATAAAAATCTAAAAATATTAATTACAATTAATCTCGAAAACTATAGTTAAATCAATAATTCAAACACAATATATATAAGATTTTAATATATATATATATATATATATATTATATTTATAGCATAATTATGTATACTATTGTAACTTTAGTTTACTATTTTTTATTAATAAATATTAATTGGCACACTGAAATAATGTATAATATACTTATAAATGTGGCATTATTATATTGTTTCATTTATAATGGAATTATTGGATATATAATTTACATTAATACCGTGTTTTGAATATATTTTTATAAAGTAACTTTTCCACTTCAAGTAAAAAAGCTAATTTACAATTATAACACAAAATAAAAATATACTTTATACAGGTAAAACTAACTTTACAAGAAGATAAAAAATAAGCATTACTAATACATTTATTGAAAATAACTAATATTAAAGGATTGATTTTTATCTAATAATAATATATTCGCCACTTGATTTCAATTTGTAATGATACTATATTTCAGGGATGAAAAAATCACCACTTATTCTAGCAGAGATCATCTAATCTGACGCCATTACTACCAACAATATAACTAAATTACCGTTGAGAGTTAATTCTTAAAAACTTATATATAAATAGATAGGTGATTGAAAGGTGTAACAATCAGAAATGACAGTGCTATCGATGGTGTACGGATTTCTATTATTCAATTAGAGTACAAGTAAATATATTTTATAAATATATACTATTTATTCATGCTTATACAATTTTATCAACCAAACATTTATATATTACAAAATACAAATTCCTCAAAATGAAAATAATAAAATCAATTATGGTATTCAAAACCATCCATTAATATTAATATATTTTCTGCTTTTTTTTTTCTTCATTAAACGAATATAAATTTTTTCATTTTTAAATAATTTACTCGTTTATTTAATAAAATACTACATATATAGTATTATATATATGAAATTATAAAATATTTTATAAAATCAAAAAAAAAATTTTGTTTAAATCAATCATATCATCGATAGCGATTAGCGACGGAAGTTTATTTAATTTTTGTATATTCATTAATGATAGTAGTTTAACATGTATTGTAATGTAACAATAATGTAATTAGTAATTCTTATCTGTTCGGATTTAAAAGATTAATAATCGTTATTTTTATATTCACTATATTTTAAAATAAAGATCTATTATTTTTAAATATTTCATAAATCATATAACTTATATATAATACATCAATATATAATATGTACGTAGTTAATAGATGATTTTATTAGTTTTTGTAGTTTTAATGCATTTATTTTATGGAAATTAACTATTTTAAATTAATTATAATAAATTTCGTCGTATTATATTAATTGATTCCACATATCAAGCAGAAATTGTATCTTATAAAATATTCTTTTTTCTAACACTTTAGTTTTTTTATTCATTATGAGATTTTTTTAAATTATATAAGTCCATATCTTTTCAATATTGTTCCGTTTGACGCAAAAATGGTAATCACTAGAAGCAAGAACATTTCATAAGTGAAAAAGAATCTTTTTGATGAGGAATCATTTTTTGTATATAAATTGAAACGGATCTGTCACTTTTGATAATTTTATTCGTAATAATTGTCTTTGATTTTAAAATTCACAAAAGAGCACTCACTTCATTTCTTCGTATGCATATGCAGAGAATTTTTAACCAAGACCATATCGTTTATTTGTTGGTATTGTTAGTTAATTATGATGAACAAGTAATTTTCGTATTTGTCATTGTTGTAACGCATTTCTTCTGTTTAGTGACAATATTTTATTAGAACTTTATAGATTTACATCGCAAACTAATAAATGAACATTTTAATTAATTAGTCATATTAAAAGTTCAGTATATTGTTAATTTAATATTGAGTTGTTAAAATAATTCTTTAACTGTTTTAGAAAATTCAGAAAATTGTCATTTCAGAAAAAATCAAAAGTAGAAGTAAGCAATCAATACCATTACAAAATTAAACATTATAAAATAAAATTTATTATATACAATAAATAAGAATAACCAATAAGAAAATTAAGTTCTTATTAAATGGATTGATTATAATTACCTTAAGCTTCACTTACTTAAAAAATATTAGTACGAGTTTTACATTGAGATTTAAATAAAACAAATTACTGACAATTTTTACGTACAGTTATGATAATATTATAATTTGTTATTATACTACTATAAAAAAAATCTTTTAAAAATTAATTGGTATTTTTAAAAACTCCGGTTTATTATATAATTTTTAAATTTCTGTTTTTAAAATATCAATAATGGATACTCAAATGTTTTAATAACAAATTATATTAATATATAAGTTATAAAAAAATAGAAACTGTGAAATGCATTGTTTTTTTTTTTTTTTATAAAACTAAGTCGAAAATCGGAAATATAATCGTTAACAAAACGAAATATTTGCATTAATAATATAGTTGAAAAGTAATATATTGATTAACAATAATAATTATTAAGCCTTTCAAATCTAATTGTGGAAATCTTGTATAATAGAGAGTTTTTTTTTATTTTATACAGATTCCAAAAGTCCGTTTAAAAATAAAATTAAAAAGGCTCTAGTACGTTAAAGTGACTATATTGAAGAATTTTCAATTCTAATAAAAGATTTAAATTGGTTTTAATTTCTTTAACTTAATAGTATGTAATTTTATTTCATTTCTACGTTAATAGAACAATTGGTATAATTTAATATAAACACTGTATTTTATCAAAATTAAATATAATATTTATATCAAAGCTAATTTTAATAATAAATGACTATCAATTGGTTCAGTTAGGGGGGACAGAATCTTTTTAACAGAAGGAAAATGGATGGAAGAAGGTAAAAAATTGGGGGAAATTTTAAACCTAATAATACCGTCTAAATTTTTTTTCCAATTCCTTTACTTCTATATTTGACCAATTAATAAAATATTTATCTTAATAACAATAATTATATTATTATTAAACCTAAAAACAAAAACTAAAATTAAAAGTAAATATTATTCTAATAAATTATAATACATTAAGCGATGATAAATTATCTCACGTTTAAACAAACTAGATAAAATAGAATATATTTATCTATCAATTATATGTTACATTAGTTAAAAGTTCTTGAAAAAATACTATCTAATAATCATATAATAATTTTTGAATTTAGATTACGATCTATATATATTTATATTCAATTTTTAACATATATAAATAATTTTTTAATTGATTTTTTTTTTTACTATAATTAATATTTATAATATTTAAATGCTCGATAAAACTATAAAATAATATTTATAGACACTTAAAATTATCAATTTAATTAAATATTTAAATTTGAATTTAAATTAAAATCCAAACATTTTTTAAGCAGAGTAATATGATAAACGAAGCTTGAACGAAGCTTGAACGAAGCTTTTAAAAAACGATGTACCTTACTTTTTTAATTTCATATCATTTTATAAAATGGTAAAGTAATAAGTAACATACATAAATTAAATGAAGTTAAAATTTATATGATATATAGTTAATTAGTGTAATTGGAAAATAATTACTACACTTTTGCCACATTATTATTACAACTACGATTTATTGCATTTATTTTTAATGAAAGTGTATGTATAAATCATTACAATAATTAAATATAATTATTTTTTTAAGATAATTTAAATTGATTTAAAAACGATATTTTATTAAAAGAATAAAAGTATTAAAATATTTCAGGTTTTAGTATTTTTTTCAAATCATAAAATATTTATATATTTACACGTTTCAGAAGTTTTTATATGAATTGTTACATTAACAAAATTATAGTTCCATTTATAGATACATTTTTAAATGAAGTCAATGTGAAAAATTAGCAAAACTTTAAAATAAAATATTTTTGTATATTTAATAGTTTAATAGTTTTGTACTTACATAATAATATATTATCTTAACAGTTACATAAATGTCATTGGTTGCAAATTTAAACAAAGTTTAATCGATAAAGTAAAACAATTTTGAAAATTTACATTCGCTCGTTCGAACATACACAGAATTTTTTAAATTTAAATATTGATTACATTTTTAAAATGTTAACGTATTACTAAATATAATTTATTTCTCGATATATTATTGATTAGAAATAGCACATCTGGATATAATAGTAATATAAAAAAAATTCATATGAATAAACGGAACGGAAATTCGAAGATTGGGAGAATGAAAGAAAAGAAAGAAAAAGACACATCTATACATGAAATAAATAAAAGTTGGAAAGCGAATAGAAAAGAAAAAAAAACGTGGCGTGGTGTTTTGCAGGAGCATGCTAAACTGTGTGAATGCGTTAGAGGGTCACATTCCGCCGGCCGAGAGAGCAGCCTTGATGGTGGCCGAGGAGAAGCCACGTCCTGACACATGTAAGACTTCAAGTATCAGTCAGCCAAGATCTCTATTATTCAATTCAATCATTTCAATACATACTTAAAAAAAATATATATATATACATATAAATATATATTATATTTTTCATACTGCTCATTTTATCGTCATTTTCATCGTCATTTTCTTACTCATACTATCCTACTTAATTAACAGGTTTTCCAATTCACTTTATCATCTATATACGCCTCGATTATTTTACTTATTTATTTATTCATTATTTAATTATAATTCAGTATTATTTCGTCTTTTAAGTATTTAATACCAGTCATATTCTATTTTTTAATTTTATGATTTTGAAAATAATTTCGTAAGGTCTTTTGTACCTATAATTTTCTTTTTGAAAATAATTTACCTTTATAAAAATTTATGCAGTTTGGTTATATCGTTGAAAAGATGCAAATTTTTGTGAATAAATATAATATGTTTATACAATTATTTGATGATATATATATGTATAATTGATATATGTATTAATACATAATTAATGTAGTATTCTTCTTCTTTTTCTTGCTATTGTTATTATATTAAATACTTGAACCTTAATATTTCTGTAAAATTAAAATGACTTTTATTTCATTTTTTATCTTTGCTTTATTTTACATTTTCAAAAAGAGCGATGTATAACAGTTAAACATTTTTTATATTTATAAACATAAGTCACATAGTCACACATAATATTGAAACTATTCACATTTTGCATGTCATCAGATATTTTTGTATGTATCATCGTAGTTCGTCTGTAAGATCATAATTCTCCTTTTGTTTGCAGACTTTCCTTCTACATTTGAAAGTAATCCAAAGTAGGTAAATGTTAAATAACCATTTATTGTCGCCGACGTGAGAGTATGCGAGGTTATAAAAATTGATAACAGCAGTCTTAACATTTCTTCAAGTATAATTATATTAAAACAATTATATAATTACATATAATTACATTATTTTTATTTACATAATTATATATATAAATTATATATAATTACATTATTATTATTGACTACGTAAAAAATTTGAGTTAAAAATCTTTCACGTCGACCATGACATTAATTACTCTTGAGAAAAATTCATTTTCATACATTTAATTCTCAATCTATTTGTCCAAGTAATATAGAAAAAGTGATTTTATTTTAGTCAGTATATTTTGTAAAATAAAGATATAAAATTGTTGTAGCTTTTCAGTGTTTATTATTTATATTTTTTATATTATATACTTCATTTTATATTATTTATTATTTAAAATTTTCTATTAAGAAATACGTTTACATAGTACTTTTTAATTTATCCTTCAGTAAAAAATTGTTTTTATTACATTATTAATTTATAACATACAATATAATAATTATTTATATTAAATTTTATATATAATTTTTTTTCAAATTTATTAAGCATATTGTTTTTATTATGAATAATATAACAATAAATATGTTACAAATTCATTAAGATAATTTAGGCTATAGTTATAGTTTAGTTATAGCTATAGTTTCATATTTTAAATTTAGATGATAATACAAATATAGAATTACTTAAAACATATAATCGAATAATTTTTAAATAAATAAATTATATATACATAGGTATATATATATATATATATATATATATATATATATATATACATATATATAAATTAGTAAATATTATAAATTAATATTAAAACTAAATATAATCAACACTTTAATATTATTTAAGTAAAAAGAAAAATTATCAACTCTATAAATATTTTTCTCAATTTCTTATCTCACTTATCATTATATCCACATATTCATATCCATAAATTACATGACCTATTTCACGATATTAACGTAACGTCTACTCATTCACGACTTGTTCTACTGAAAATCCACATAAGGAGTATCGTGCAACGTTCAACATCAACAAAAAAAAATACTCTCAGCATTAAGTTACTACAAAAGAAAAGCATTAAACAGAATAAATAGAGATATTAGAAGATTAATAAAAAGTAAAAAGGCAGACAAAAAACTGAAGGACGATAAGTGGAATTGGAATTTGCATGACGGTAACTTACATAACAGATATGTATGATGTGTCTAAGATAAAACACACTTTCTATTTAAAAATATTTTTTTCATCTCACTTTTACACCTATAATGATCTTTAATTAATCAATATCTGTACAGAATAAGTCACTTCCTTCACCATTTACGCTATGATAGGAACTTATGCTAATAATAAATTACATAAAAATAATTATCATTATTGATACCGCTATTACCATTAATATTTTCATTGCTATAATTATTTATTTTACCGCTAATAATATCATTATGAAATATAATCGCTTCTGTAATGACTAGGTAAATATGTAAATGCAATATGCTTTAAAATACAAAAATTAATTAGTCAATTTCTTACGTCCTACGCCCGCGAAATCTATTACTTTATAATAATGTAAATACTATTTTTTGCTTATGTCCCTATATTATATGTATATAAAAATATAGAATGAGAAGCGTTATTTTTATTTTTTAATTACTTTATATAATAATAATCTTTCATATATCACTACTTTTGTTATTAAACAAATATGTATACAGATTTTAAAATAGTGTGAAAATGTATGGCGATGGTTAACGTTAGACAGACAAATGCATGAATTTGTAAATAGATTTGCACGAAGCCTTTATTTTGTTATTATATACATGGCCGTTGTTTTTAAAAGTATAGTTTTCTATTATATTTGTGTATAGTAAATTATATTAAAAATCTAATTTTTTGGAAATTGCGTATAACATAAAAATACTTTTATATTTGGAAAAATAAAGAATACTAAATATTATATTCAATATACAATATAAATTATATGCACATTATTGCATATTATATGAAATTAAAATTTTTACTAAAAGTATTATTTATGAAATAAAAATATTTGTACAAGTATATTAGAGCTTTAACGTTTGTTAGAAAATTTTAGTAAGCTAGTTATTTTGAGATTAAGTCAATGCAAGTTAATAGAGCCAAACTTCACTCTACCATTTTTAAATAGTGCATCTATTAAGATATTTTACATATAAAAATATATAACAAAATTTTATGTAATAAAAAAATTATTTTACATATATATTATTCTTTAATTATATCAAGTTTATTATGTAAATTTAAAATTTATTAAGTGACAACCTTATATTCTTAATACCACAAATTAATTAATTCTATCATCTTTGCAGATAAAGTAGATTAAAAAAAAACATTTAATTTTCTATTTGAAATAAAGATAAATTTTTTTTTCGACTATCTTCTTCATATTTTATATTAAAATAAATTTGGAACATCGGAATTTTAAAAGATACAGTAGCCATCATTGCTCAAACTTTTAAAGATTGAATTCAATAAGTCGACGTGGTCTCAAAAGAAACCATTGTGCACGTGAAAGACGCATATCGCCTAATGACGAATCTTTTATAATATACCCTCCGTTGTACTTTCGCATCCTTGCATGATTATTGAACATATAAACAAATAAGGATATAGAGTATTATAAAGAAAAAATAAAGAAATAGTAGAAAGAGGGCATAAGTGGATTAACTTCTCGGCGTCATTCGTCGTGCCGACAACGGCGAGACGCAGTTGTGTTTGCAGCTGGTTCCGATCAGTCTTCCGTAGACGTTCGTCCCGCTCAACCGGAGAGGCCACCGCCCCCGCTTCCCCCGCCACGCTTTCCGAGCAGCGCTGTTTGACACTGGGGAACTCGTCATCCTAATGCCATCATCAAGGGCCTCGAGACTCGTCTGGCCCGACTGCTGGCACAGCGCGTCTGCGCATGCATCGAATTCTTCCAGGACAACCCGTCACCGCCATCTCAACCACTGCCAGCGACTATCTCGCACTGATGCGTCTACAATATGAGGAGGTGGAGAAAAAGCGCCATTTGAGCAACGGTTCAGCCACATTGGACTTTTCTTCTGTCATTGTTGCAGTTATGCTAATATGGCGCACTAAATCTCAGACCGACGATTTTCATAAGGACTTTGCGAAAAGGAGTTGAGGAGGTTAAGGTAGTTCAATTTCAAAGATAAGTTTTATTGTCTGGGCTTTGGAGTCTTATACGAATAAAATTTCAAAATCAATTAAAAGGGATTTGTCGTAAATAAGAGCTACAAGCATCATTCGTTTGAAAAATTAAACTAGATAATTTCTCAAACTCATCTTCATGAGATTTATCAATCTATAATGATGACTACCTTAACTTTTGTCTGTTCATTTAATAATCAGCACAATTCTAATATTCGAGTGAAAACCTTACTTTTTTCATTCTTTCATTGTCAATGATAATAATATATAATGTTCTGTTTCTTAAATTTCAGTATAAAATGTTTTGCTTACGGAAATTATAAATGTATAAATATATCAAAAGTGTCAATGATGACAAGAGTTACCAAATAATTTTTGTATATTACATTGATAATGAAATAATGGGTATTTGAATTTTATAAGAGGATTTATTTTTAGATACTTAAAAAGAGAGACTGAAAATAACATTCTCTTTATAAAAGTGCAGATAAATGTCAAAATATTATAAAGAACGAACAAGTCTTTATCAATAAATAGAAATATATAATTAGCAAAACAGCAAGGAAGAAAACTTTGATTAAATTCAAGTTCAGAATTCATTGTATATTTTCAAATAATTATTCATTAAGAGTGATAACGAAATGTAAATAATTTATGAGTAAATATAATTGAGGAAAAGATAGTAATGTCCTTTGAGAAATTTGAGTCAAAGAATGCAAATTAAAATTTTTTTTTTCAAAATGCAATGTTTGCAATAATCACTTCTACTGTTCTACTAAGAAATAATATGAGTTATAATGTTTAAAATATACATCATTACAAGAACATTAAAAGCAACACGAGTTTCATTAAATCTTTTGTCCTTCGATCGTTGCTCAAGAAAAGTGAAAAATAAAAACGAAAAATAAATAAGAGATAAAATGCTATAGTTGATCAGTGCCTACTGTGCCCAATTATTAGGATAAATTAAGGTCTATTTCATACATTAGATTTGACTATGTAAAAGAGTATTCTACTAAGAACATTCATCTGAACTGGTGTATTATTAACTTTGAATTTATAAATTTATAATTATTAAATATCATAGGAAAGAATCCTCGGAGATAGCATTTCGAATTTGCATCTTTTAAGAAATACTTAATTATAATTCTATAAAGTCTATAACATGCGCGCAAGGATAATTCAATTAACACCATAAACAGATGCGCGGCATACACACTTCGATACACATGCTAATAACATCTAAATATACATTTATCGAAAAAGAGCGAATTTTATAAATCAATATTTAAGTGCAACGAACTCACATGATTTGCGCATAATTATAGTAATTGTAGTTGTGGACTTGAATGATACGCAGTAAAGAATTTTAAAAATATGAGAAAAAAGATGTTAAATATAGCTAATAATAGACGTGAAAAAGGTTTCCTATTTTTTACTTTCCAAACTGTATATATTAATTTTACTGGATTTTAATTTATACTAATATATTTATATGTAATTAATCATAAGTATGTAAATTATAATTTTAGTACTGTTACATACATTATTTAACGAATTTAAATACAATTTCAGCATTTTACAGTATTTTAGTGTGAATTTAGTATTTTTAATTAATTATAATAATATCAAGAACTCACATTATAAATGTTTTGTTATTACTTGATGATATAAGATAAAAATTAAAATAATTTAGTATTATTTTTTGCAAGTACAAATTTTTTAACATTTTTAGATACTTTAATATGAGACTAATATATAAATAAATATGAATA